TTTATATCTACAGCAGCGTGCATCCTGTAGAATCTTCTGAGATGATGGAAGCATTTGCTGTCTGCAGTGTCAAATAGAGAAGCCATCTATTTTCTTGGACAGGACAGATCCAGAGCCCCCATTCCTCCCAGTGGTGGAAAACATAATCAGCGCAGGGCAAACTCAGTCAAAACAAGGATTTCTATCATTTCAGGGGATCTCCCTCCTCTCTTTATCCCTAGGTTGCATCTAAGTCTTACAAGGCTCCTTGAGAGTTTCTGGTTCTCAATCCTCCAATTGTCATCTGCTGAGCAGTCTGAGTTCTTATTGGTTTCTGGTCATTGGTCTCTCAGGTGACTGTATCTTCTGGTTTGCTGGCCATCCCGTAAGTTTTTTTGGGATAAGAATGTACACTACAGGTGTTTTTGTTTGTGACCTTGTGGGGTATGTGAGTGTGTGTGTGAGTGCTAGATAAATGTGCATTTGTTCTAAATTTGAGAATATTCAATTCTGCTATAGAAAATAGAAATGGGATGGTGATACTCCTAAGATGTGTTAAATATAGATAAGGAAGTTAGTAACTTGTGAGATGTGTTAAACATAGATAAAATAAGTAGGGCTTATGCATACTGAACATAGATAGGGAGAGATGGAAGAACTAAGAGACACTTAATTTTCACGAAGCACTAAATATACATGGGGTACCAGAGGCATCTAATTTTCATGATACACTAAATATAATAGAGGTATATGAATCCCTTTATATTTATGACATCTGAAATTGATAACCCATTGATGATACCCATTCTGACTCCAAATGTCCACTGCCAGATAAAATCCACAGCTGTTCAACAGGCTAACTGGTGAGGAATAGCTGTAGCCAGATATAATAAATACATGTGTTTCTCCTAGAAAACAATTGTTTGTGCTGGTCCCAGGCATCTTCTGTGTCTTGGGCCTCTTTGCTCATCTTTGAGGAAATATAGCCACACCATCAGGAGGGAAAACTGTCTATGGGTCTTTTGTCTATGGGTCTTTTGTAACCCAGGTTTTATGTAGTGTGGTCCTTCCACCTTTCCTGCACCCTTTCCTAAGCACATTACCCCACCCCATTTCTTTTCTCCTTTTTATTGCTGCGTGGATACATTGATTTAATAAATTGTGTGCTTTCAGTATTTTAGTTTGGTCTCTGATCCTTTTTAGTCCTGCATCTCTAGGGTAGCTTGTGCAACAGTGTACTGGTAGCCTAGAGGCCATCATGGCATCAAGGTAATTTCCCTCATGACACTGGGGGTAGATAGGATTGAGACTGCCTCAGGGTGACTCTGCCCAGGCAGGCTGTGCTATCATCACTGTCTACTGCTGCTGCTCTACCACACTGCTGTGGGAGATGGCTGGAAGATTTGGCTCTTCTGTGAACCCCAACTAAGGAGTGAGACATAGCCCTTGATCGTGCTCAGATTCCCAAACTTACTGGGGGCTCTATCTAGCCAGACTTGGCCAGGTGCAGGTGTGACTCCTTCTTTGGGACACCCACCAGTGTCTCAATAGCTTTCTTCCTCCTCCTCCCTCAGTACAGAGGGTCTGGTCTGTATGTGCTTTGGGAAGCACTGTTTCCAAATCTGTGGCTAACAGTATAAATTTCATGCCTCTAGTCCTTAAGAACCTTGGTTTTGATTCTGATAATCCAGGCTTTTGAAATTCAAAAATGTTTTTTGAGTTAAACTTTTTGAGTTTATTGTCTTTAGTTTAAAAAGTCGATTTCGAAACTCTACTATGGCCTGAATGTCTCTCAAAATTCCTGTTTATCTCCACTGTGAAACCTGGTCCCCACTGTGCTGGTATGAATAGGTGTGTGGTCCTTTGGGGAGTGATTAAGGATTAGTGCATTATAAAAGGGCAGGAGGAAATTAGCTTAGGTCGCTTTCTGCTCTTCTGCCCTTCTGCCATGTGAGGACACAGCAAGAAGGACCTCACCAGACACTGAATGATGGCATCTTGATCTTGGAATTTCCAGACTCCAGAACACTGAGAAATAAACTTCAATTAAATTACTCAGTCTGTGGTATTTCGTTATAGCCACACAAATGGACTAAGACAAAGTCATTTCTCTTTTCTATCTCTGCATTTCTGCCATAGCAACCCTACTGTGAGGGCAGGCACACACCTACATGCTCACACACACACACACATGCACATACACATGACATCTCTGCTGCCTGAATTGGGGGAAGGTTGAGGGTAGGCCTGGAATACTGGGGAAGGAATAAGCCTAAGTCGTTATTTCAAATTCCCATCCTTCCCCATTTGCAAAGGACTGCATGTAGCTATGAGTGAGTTGTCTGGATACAGGGTTTGGAGGACTTTGCAGGCTGCTCCCTCTTTGTGTCTTAGTCTACTCTCCTGCTTGTCTTTATTCAGCAGCAGGATGGACACTGGCAGTTCCACGACAACATTATCCGTAGAGTTCAGTCAAGTTCAGAGGATGCTTTGATGTCCCTCTGGATCTGAAAATATCTTTCTTACCTTCTAAGTTTGCTTTGGTCCTTCAACGGAATGGAGAGAGCATTTATTGATTACCTTCCACATGCTGGGCATCACTTTCCAAGAGGCCCCTTTTAAAATGTAAATTCCCTCTGGCAGGGAAAAACCCTTAAGCCCTCATTATCTAACCCCTAGAATTAACTTATTAGAACCATTTCCATCTGTCATAGCCAGCTGCGATCAAGGCCGTGTGAGACTGGCGTCAGGATAGCTGTCCTGGGGAGCACCCTGGGAAGGGGAGGGGGCAATGAGAGGGGCAGGAGTGGAAGACCTTCCAAATCAAAGTTTATCTGCTCCACAACATTTGCCCCGTGGTAGCCCTGAAATAATTGATGTGCTAATTAAAATCTCTGTAGATTCATTAAAGCAATCCCGAGAAAATCCCTGCTTTGCACTTAGGTTGCCCAGCCAGTAGTTTGGGTATAAATATGAAAGTAATGAAACTCATTGCTTTAACAAAAATGATCCCATTTTGACTTTTTCTATCAGTCCAAATGATGAAGTTTTAACTTCATTTTAATGCTTAGAAGTGCAAAATAGTGATAGATGAGAGAGGGTGTGGGTCACATAGGCAGGCTGGCTTGTGATTTACAATTTATATTATACAGACTGGCCACAAATGATCAATTAGCATGCATGAATTAAAATGGCCTATTCACACAATGAGATACTCCTCAGCAATAAAAAGGAATTACTGATTTATACAATCACGTGGATGCATCTCAAAAACTTGTTGAGCAAAAGACCAGACACAAAGGAATATACACTGTATGACTCCATTCACATGTTCTTAAACGGGCAAAACTCATCTACAATAAAACAATCTGAATAGTGGTTGCCTCGGTAGGGGTAAGAGGAGAAGATTAAAGCATGAGGGGACCTTTTAGGTAGGTAGAAATGCTATCTTGATTTGGATGTTGATGTCAGAACCTACACGTTTGTCAAAACTACTAGAATTGTGCACTTCAGAGATGTGCGTTTAGCCACATGTAAATTATAACACAGTGAAAACAATTTAAAAAACATTTCCTGGCCTTTTCTTGAGCTATCTTTCCTCAGAACTGGCTGACTGCATGTTGGTTTGGTGTCTGAGGTAACTAACAGCATAGGTATATCTAGCATAGAGCCGTAACCGCACATTGTGTAACATGCAAATTGCTTTAAGTTGAAGAGCTAAACGTTTAGGGTTGCCCACATGTAATGTTATTAATCACTGTATTATGTAATACTTGCTCTGAAATGCAGACAACACAAGCCAATCCCATCAATATTCTTTTGAATTTTTTATTTATCCAGAGTGTGTGTGCATGTGTGCGTGTGTGTGTGTGTGTGTTTGGGAGGGAGTCTCGCTCTGTCACACAGGCTGGAGGGCAGTGGTGCTATGTGGGCTCACTGCAAGCTCTGCCTGCCGCATTCACGCCATTCTCCTGCCTCAGCCTCCTGAGTAGCTGGGACTACAGGCGCCCGCCACCATGACCGGCTAATTTTTTTTTTTTTTTTGTATTTTTAGTATTTATTCTTTCTTTCTCTTTCTTTCTTTCTTTCTTTCTTTCTTTCTTTCTTTCTTTCTTTCTTTCTTTCTTTCTTTCTTTCTTTCTTTCTTTCTCTCTCTCTCTCTCTCTCTCTCTCCCTTCCTTCCTTCCTTCCTTCCTTCCTTCCTTCCTTCCTTCCTTCCTTCCTTCCTTCTTTCCTTCCTTCCTTCCTTCTTTCTTTCTTTATTTTTTGAGACGGAGTTTTGCTCTTGTGGCCCGGGCTGGAGTGCAATGGCATGGCTCAGCTCACCGCAACCTCCACCTTCCGAGTTCAAGCGATTCTCTTGCCTCAGCCTTCTGAGTAGCTGGGGTTACAGGTGTGTGCCACCTCGCCCAGCTAATTTTGCATTTTTACTAGAGACGAGGCTTATCCATGTTGGTCAGGCTGGTCTCAAACTCCCGACTTCAGGTGATCCGCCCTCCTCAGCCTCCCAGAGTGCTGGGACTACAGGTGTGAGCCACCGTGCTGGCTGACTTACCCTTTTCTAAGCTACTCCCTATGCACCCCTTTTGTTACAAAAAAAGTAAATAAACACAATAAAATAGTTTCACTCTGGCCCTGTAGTATGCTACACATAATAACTCACGTACACTTATAAATCTCTAAGATGCTACTGGAGAGTATTTCTGCACAATTGGCGTGTACCTGATTGGAATGTTATGGAGCTTTGATTAGATTTCCCCTTGCCCCTTTTATTTATACAATGTCTACAGTATAGGAGTAGCTGCATCTTAGGGTAGGTAAGGTCTCCTAGAAAACTGAACTGAAGTAATTGTTTTGAAGGCTGAAGAAATTTTGAAAGACCTATAGTGTACATTCTCATCCTAATATTCCTCCTATTCTGATTGAGAATAAGAATCATGATTATTTTCGTTACTCATCTGCTCCTCTTGTTTATTCCTTTCCTGAAGTCTTAATCCTCTCCTTGAGACATCCCAGTTGGTTGCTATGGAAATGATTATTTTGCCACAAACAGAGAATTATGACCTACAGTAAAGAATAAGCAGCAGAAGCCAATGAACTCTTGGAAAATAACTTAGTCTTGCTGACACCAAAATAAGACTAACACTATTAAAACTGGAAGCAAAGTTGTCCAAAGTTTTTCATGAGGCAGTAAGTTATCATGAATTTTTCTGAAATAATTATTAGATGAGTTGTTGAAGAATTTATGGTTTGAACATATTTATGGGCACTAATACCTTTACAAGTTAAAGTCTTTCCAAAATTTTGAACCTAAAGGTTCAAAGCAACTAATGATGTGATATTAGTAATAATCATTTAATTGTTTCTGACCTGTCATACTCAAAAAGTACACTTAAAACTCTACTTCAGTCTGGGTGCGGTGGCTCATTCCTGTAATCCCAGCACTTTGGGAGGCTGAGGCGGATGGATCACCTGAAGTCAGGAGTTCAAGACAAGCCTGGCCAATATGGTGAAACCATGTCGCTACTAAAAATATGAAGAATTAGCCAGGCATGGTGGAGGGCGCCTGTAATCCCCGCTACTTGGTAAGCTGAGGCAGGAGAATTGCTTGAACTTGGGAAGCGGAGGTTGCAATGAGCCGAGATCACACCATTGCACTCCAACCTGGGAAACAAGAGCAAAACTCTGTCTCAAAAACAAAAACAAAACAAAACAAAAACTCTACTTCAAACTCAGCCATTTAAATTCTTGTGTATACCTTTCTGGTTTTATATACAGATATAGCCATAATTTACTAAAATGTATGTATATTAAATAATTGTTAATATGATTATATCTACTTTTGACATAATAAAATACATCTGTACTTAATAAAATAGAAATATATTTATGTTTCTATCTATATTCTTTTCCATGTTTCTATACCATCTTAATTTTCAAATTAAGAAACTACTTATCCTGGTTCCATATAGTGGAATATTTATGTTGTATCAAATTCTTTTGCCGTTATAAATGAAATGTCTGTAAATATCTTGATAGCAGGTCTTGAAAGAAATTCTCTAGAATTAACTCAGAGAAACTGTGTTCTGGGCATCAGGAATATGAGAATTTTAATGTAACACACTTCCCTATATATAGTAGGCCATCAATAAATGTTTGTTACACGAATGGACCTCATCAAATGCATTAAATTGAAAAGCAATGGCAAAAACCGCAATTACTTTTGCATCAACCTAATACTTACTTTATGGCAGGTAATATTGATGGCTCTTAAAAGTCAGAGAAGCTAGGACAAGAGAAAGTTCCAAGGAATCTTAGGGAAGAAAGCAAATCTTTCATAGACTAAGGTCCAAGAGTGTCAGTAGCTTGACTCAGGCCCTGCTTGTGAGAAGGGTGTGTTTAGAAGTTTCATCTTCCTGCTTTCCATTGAATTTTCTTTGCACTGCACAGGCTGTGCTTCTCAGGGAGCTCAACAGAGCTTGCAAAGGCCCTGAGGGAATGCAGTGTGTTCCCGACTCTGCTTAGTTTGTTAAATTCTGTGGTTTTTTTCTTCCAAAACGATTTTAGGCAGCTTATATAGGAACATCAAATACAGTGGAATAACACCAAAATGAAAACCAAAAAAAAAAATCAAGTCAAAGAGCAAGTATAAGCAACAAAATAAAGTTGTCCCAAAAATGTGTACCTAGGGTCATATGGAGTTGGAAAAGATGCGACACAATTGGACTCTGAACTTCCTCAAGGCCAGAGGAAAGGGGGACATAAAAAACAGCACCTGATCCATAGCATCTGCTAGACAAAAACCAGTTACCTAAGGGAAGAATGGCACTCTTTGTCAGTGAGTCCGTGTCTGTCCCTGAATGCCAAGATAGTGCTAAGTCCCTCTTCAACTCCACTGCGGAGCTTTCAAGCTTCGCTGTTGTGACAAGTGCTGCCACTGACATCGGCTGGTTTCATAACGCCTGGCCCCATGAGTGCCTCAAACTAGATGACTGAATTTTGATGACTGCCACGAGGAGGGTAGAAATACAGCCTTGATGAGAGAATTTATGTGTAAATACCTGAGAGTCTGAAACTGTATCCCAGATGAACTCGATTAAAAATTTTTTTCTTATTGTGATTAAGAAAACCACATAACATAAAATTCAATTGATTTTAAATATTTTTTTCTGATTTAAAAGGTAATATATAATAGTTTTCTTGTAGAAAATGGAAATTTTAAAGAAGAAAAAACTGCCACTGTAAATCTGTAATATATAAGGCCAGTATATATTAGATATACCATAGAGTCTTTTCTAATTTTCCACCATTGCACACCTAGGCTGTTTTCAATTTCATGCTATTACAAATAGGGCCGTGATGTACATATTTGTACATGTATCTTTATACCTCTGATAAATTCCTTGAAGTAGAATTACTGGGTCAGAGGGCATGCCTATTTCTAAGATTTTTGAACAGATTACCTAGCCTAGAATATGTGTATCAACAAAGCCCACACCTTGTGATCTTTTGAAGTCTTTTCTAGCCTTCTTTTCTGTGGCTCATGCCTGTAATCCTAGCACTTTGGGAGGCAGAGGCGGGCAGATCACTTGAGGCCAGAAGTTCGTGACCTGCCTGGCCAACATGGTGAAACTCTGTTTCTACTAAAAATACAAAAATTAGCTGGGCGTGGTGGCAGGCACCTGTAATCCCAGCTACTCGGGAGGCTGAGGCAGGAGAATTATTTGAATCTGGGATGCGGAGGTTGCAGTGAGCCAAGATTGCAATGCTGCACTCCAGCCTGGGTGACAGACAGACTCTGTCTCAAAAAAAAAAAAAAAAAAAAAAAAAAAAAAAAAAATACAATATGTAGAATTTTTCAAGGCTTTGGGTGTATTTCTTTCCATAGTTAGGGTTTTATGTGTGTGTGTGTGTATATATATGTGTGAGTATGTGTATGTGTATATGTATGTGTGTATATCTATCTATATTTATATACAGCTATATCCATATATGTAGCGAGAAAGAAAAAGAGAGAGAGAATGTCTACAGACAAAGCAAGTTGAAAAGAGGTAAGCTGAAAAGATTCTTTGAGGCCCTGCAGTGTAACCGCAGGGGGTTTAATAGGGTCTCTTTGGTCTTATCCATGGGTGGAAAGGGAATTAAGGACTCCAAGTCGCTTCATGTGGCTATCCCTCGGTTTCTCTAAGACTCATATTCCTCAGTATCATTGTGTAATTTTCCACATATAAACACCACGTATTTCTTGTGGAGTTTAATACTACTATATGTGTTATTTTTTATATTGTGAACAAAAATGTTTGTTCTACTATATTTTTCCCTGGCTCCATTTCTAATATCTACAGATTTTTATACTTTTTTTTTTTTTTTTTGCCTCTGGATGCTTAACTAAATTCTCTTTTAATAATAATTTTTTTTTCTTTATGAAGGTTTCCTTGGAATAAAATGTGTCCTGAATATAATAACATTATTTCCTGCTTGTTGATGGACATGTTTTTAAGACTCAGTTATATATAGCATTTATCTCTAAATAGAAATAATATGCCAAAACACTTTTTCTGCTCATTAGACTCTGTGAATCAGTTTTTTCATCAGTAGCTGTTATTTTCATTATCTTTTAATGGAGGTTTGGTGGGATTAAGGGAAAAAGAAGCCAACAAAAAAAATAAGGAAAACTGTCTTTGTCTTTAATCCTTACTTTTCTGGTCCCATCCTTCTTTCTATTCCCCTCCTATGGATCAGTCTCATATCTGCAATATTAGGAGAATAGGAACAACAGGTGTGAACAACAAATGTGTACTCTCGGAATGGCTAAATCTTTCTAAATTGTATGTTTTCCAAGTTACCAGGATCCCTGTTGTGATATATAAAAATCCATCACAATTATAAATAATATGTATTTTTCCTTCATATTAATATTATATAAGTGGCATGTCCGATGGAAGAAACGGACTTTTTTTTTTTTTTTTTTTTTTTTTGAGATGGAGTCTCACTGTGTCACCGAGGCTGGAGTGCAGTGGCGCGATCTCTGCTCACTGCAAGCTCTGCCTCCCTGGTTCACGCCCTTCTCCTGCCTCAGCCTCCCGAGTAGCTGGGATTATAGGCGTTGGCCACCATGCCCGGCTAATTTTTTTTTTGTATTTTTAGTAGAAATGGGGTTTCACTGTGTTAGCCAGGATGGTCTCAATCTCCTGACCTCATGATCTGCCAGCCTTGGCCTCCCAAAGTGCTGGGATTACAGGCGTGAGTCACCGTGCCCGGCCCAGAAACAGACAATATTTTGAAAGCACACATAAAAAAAATCTGAATTATCCAGAATTGTTATATCCCAAAATAACCTCTGTCTTACCCACAGTGGGAGTGTTTACACCGTGGAAATTGGTGAAAGCCACAGATCAGGGCTATTTTTGTTAGAGAGCTGTCTAAAGGTTTATTGGCGTATCACTTGAAGCATTGATCCACTGGCTCCTATCTTCTCTTAGTCTTACTTAGGTTTTCCCAGAAAGACCCTGGGACAAGGGCTCATGTGCAGATTGTCTTTTGGGAAGTGATCCCAGGAGTGGGAGTGGAGGGCTAGAGAAAGGGAAGCAGGGAAGGAGGGAAAGCCATTCAAAAGTGTATTATCAAATCGTTCACCACTCTGGATAACTAAGGTTTAGTCTCACTGTAGAATGTGCTTCAGATTGTCCATTGAAGAGATGGAAGGTCGAGGCTGCAGTGAGCTGTGATCATGCCATGCACTCCAACCTGGGTGTCAGAGTGAGATTCTGTCTCTGAGAGAGAGAGAGAGAGAGAGAGAGAGAGAAGAGAGAGATGGAAGAGGTGAATATATTCAATGGTGTGTTGGAACCTGCTTGCCCAGCTTGGCATGGCCTGTTGTGCATATGTCGTGCCAACTTTGTGCTCAGTGACATCAGGTTGGTAGCTTGAAATTGACCACAGTGGGAGTGTTTACACCGTGGAAATTGGTGAAAGCCACAGATCAGGGCTATTTTTGTTAGAGAGCTGTCTAAAGGTTTATTGGCATATCACTTGGAAAATGGATCCACTGGCTCCTATCTTCTCTTAGTCAAGAGTCACTCCATAAGGAACTCCCTTGTTCTTCCAAATTTGCAGAGACATCAGAAGGCTGAGAGAGTTTCTGCAGACAACCCACAGGGTTGAGAGGACATCCTCCCAGCCGAGGCAATATGCTGTCAGTTTATACCTGTGTAGCTGCTTTCCACAGCAATGACTGAAGTAAAATGGCCGGCTGAGGGGATGTGAGGCCCCAGAGGTGTCTAATCCAAGCATTATTAATGTTTTGGCAGTTTTCATGTATCCGTGCATGCACACATATAAAAACACACAGTTTTAAACTTACTAAAATGGCATCTTACCCCATACTCTGTCTCCTTCTCAGCTTTTTATGTTTACTTAACAATAAGTTGTGAACATTTTCCATGTAAACAAATACTACTTTCCTGGTTGCAAAGTATTAGATATACCATAGAGCATTTTCTAATCTTCCACTGTTGCACACCTAGGCTGTTTTCAATTTCATGCTATTACAAATAGGGCCATGATGTACATATTTGTACGTGTATCTTTATACCTCTGATAAATTCCTTGAAGTAGAATTACTGGGTCAGAGGGCATGCTATTTCTAAGATTTTTGAACAGATTGCCTAGCCTAGAATTTGTGTATCAACAAAGCCCACATCTTATGATCTTTTGAAGTCTTTTCTAGCCTGCCTTCCTTCCTTCCTCCCCTCCCTCCCCCTCCCTTCCCCTCCCTTCCCCTCCCCTCCCCTCCCCTCTCCTTCCTGCCTTCCTGCCTGCCTTCCTGCCTTCCTGCCTTCCTTCCTGCCTGCCTTCCTGCCTGCCTTCCTGCCTTCCTCTTTCTTTCTTTTCCTTTCTCTCTCTCTCTTTCTTCCTTTCTTTCAGACAAGGTCTCACTCTGTCACTCAGGCTGGAGTGCAGTGGTGCAAGCACAGCTCACTGCAGCCTCCACCTGCCAGGCTCAAGTGATCCTCCCACCTCACCCTTCTGAGTAGTTGGGACTACAGGTGCACGCCACCATGCCTGGCTAATTTTTTGTATTTTTTGTAGAGATAGGGAACTTACAATGTTGCCCAGGGTGGTCTCTAACTTCTGGGCTCAATCAGTCTGCCCACCTCAGCCTCCCAAAGTGCTGGGATTACAGGCATGAGCCACCATGCCCAGCCTTTAACTTTCTTATTCTATAATTCTCTCATTCCAATGCAGAAGTATCAATGATTCCTGTAAGACTAACATGAACCACAATAAATAAATAGATTGCTTATGACTCTGTATCCAATAGCCCTGAATAGTACATACTTTTAAAACAAAACAAAGCTACTTTACTTTAATATCTCTACCCAAAGAAATAATGTTTTTCCATATTTATGATTCATATAAACAAAACAAACTTGCAGCAAACTAAAAATTGAGTTCTTTAGACTTTAAAACTTACAGCATTTCTATAACTGCTACTAATCACCAGTCTTAAATATATTATCTTCATGTCTTCAGACTCAAGAAGACTTTTGTCTATAAATCCATTCTACATAGCTATTTTATTTGGAAGAGAGCATAATGCAGATGACAAATGATTCATTGTTTCTGGAGCAAAGCAATATTATTCCAGAACAAAAGGAAAGAGAAAAATAGTAACAAACTTTGTGATATTTTTGAATTTGGATTGATTTGATCCTTCAACACTGTTCTAAACTATCATATTTCTATTTGATTACATTTTTTTCCTAGTCAGATTTTAATGACAAAAACATACTGTTTGAAATCTTGCGTATGTGCTCAGGTATTTAACAACTTAAGACATTTGTGCTGCATTCAATTCTATTGCACTGCAAGAAATTAGAAAATACAAAGTCAGTGTAACAAAGCCAACATGAGATTTCTGAAAGGCTTCAATTCAACATTTGTCACCAATGTTGACTGATCACTTTCTCTGTTCTAGTTGTGGTGCTAGGCACCAGAGATAATGCAGTGAACCAGACAGACCCCAGACACCATCCCTAGTCTCATAGAGCTTGCAATTAAAAACCATACTCCAATGGAAATAAGGAAGGAAAGAAGCAAATGCCCAGACTTCTACTTGCTCTTCTGGTCTTCTATTGCTTTCTCAGCATCATTTCCTTTTTGAACAATGAAGGGCCTGCTACTGGCCTAACTTATAAGGAAAAGCTCATAAAATTGATTTGCCAGATTGCCTCACAACCCAAATGCATCTATTTTTATGGCATAAAACAAAGATGTGGTATGAATAACAAACATACTTGCTTTAATGGATGTCAATTGTATTCTTAGTCTCTCTCCAGGCAATTAATATTTCTCCTTGCCATTTTAAACACAAAGATCCTCTGAAAAACTCAGCTAAGGGCATAACACGACTGTTGTCAGTGACCATGGATCCTAAGAGATCCATATAGGCTCCCAGGGCAAGCTTGTCGTGGGTAAAACTGCAGGGGTAATGGTCGCTGATCACTGTTGCCTCTCCCTGGAGTGACAAGATACCTCCTTCCCACCCTCTGCATCCAGCGTCTCATACTTGTGCCATCCTTTCCTTATTAAAAGGTTTTCAGGAACTGATCAAGTATTAATGCCCAAAGAATAATAAAACGTGAATTTTAGCAAAAACCAAAACGGTGAATTTAGCAGAAAACAAATCTTTAAATCAAAGGGATAGCCCAACATATGTAATTTAAGATATTAATTAGCATATAGAATATATTTGGGCAGGAGAAAAGTCCAAATATAAATTAACTTGAGAACAAAAATAAGAGAAAACTAGTTAAACATAGGTGGGTGGATGACAGGCATCTGGGTACAGTAGGGAAAGCCCAAAATCTGGATGAAAGAACATACCTGGGTTCAAATTCTTCCTGAGCCTCAGTTTCTTCAACTACAAAATGGGGACAATGACATCTATAAGATTTTTTCTATTTATAGGATTAAATATGATAATGTATGTAAAGAACATGGACCACATGAGCTGTCCCTGTGCCATCATGAAGTCAGACCACAAAGGTACCTGCAAATTCTGCATATGAGCGCTTCCTGAATGCCTTTTCCTATCTGTAAAATGAGGTACAACAGGATTTTCAGCTGAGTCTGAACTCCAATAATTTGGAATACCGATGGAAAATCATGAAGGGAGAGTGGGAAAAGCAGACTTTGTTGGTTTTGTTTTTGTTTTTGTTTTTGAGAGAGGATCTCCCTCTGTCACCCAGGCTAGAGTGCAGTGGTGCCCTTTTGGCTCACTGCAACCTCCGTTTCCCAGGCTCAAGCGATTCTCATGCTTCAGCCTCCCGAGTGTCTGGGACTACAGGAATGCACCACCACCCTGGCTAATTTTTGTATTTTTTGCAGAGACCGGATTTCGCCATGTTAGCCAGGCTGGTCTCAAACTTGGCCTCCCAAAGTGCTGGGATTATAGACGGGAGCCACCGGGCCAGCAAAAGTAGACTTTTTTTTTTTTTTTTAAACTTCAGTTTGTTTTTCTAGAGCGAAACAGTGGGGTCTTTAGTTTGCATTGGAATCACTCAAGAAACTCCTCCCCACCTTTAAATGTTCATTTATTTATCACAATGAACAGGAAACATGTAAACCACGTGGCTTTTTCCTCAGGAAATGGGTTTTTAAATGCACATTCTGGGGCCCAGTCCTATGAAATTCTGATTCAGAAGATCTTTGGGAATCTGCATTTTAAAAAAATTCCATAGGTCATTCTGAGGCTGGGCAGCTGTGGGCAAACTTGGAGAAACAGGGCTGGAGAGAGTGTACCTTGATTTCCACTTCGAGAACACACTGTTTGAGAGTCTCTTTAATGTGCTATTTGGTAATGTAAATGGAAAGCAAAACTCCTTTCCAAAGTGGAAAGATTTAAGACAATGAATAACTAAATTGATTGGCAAAGTAAAATAAAGTCCGTTTTCATTGTGAAGTGAAATCTTGGCAATGTGTTTCTTTAAGGAAGTGCTTCTTGTTCTTAATATAGATTTGGGCTACTATAAATCTGGACATTCTTTTGGTTCCCAAAGAACCAAATCATTACGCCAGGAAAGCTGGAGTAGAGGTGGGCATGAGCAAAGGATGAAGGAGTCTAGTTTCTCTTTGCTGATGTGAAGGGAACACAGAGGTGGGCCTGGTAGTTCCAGAGCCCAACACCTTCAGTTCTGTGCGCAGTTCCCTCTTGGTGTTTTTTTATACCGGATGTTCCAAAATGTGAAAAAGATGCTACTGTCAGCTTGAATTCGGATGCCTTGTCCTTTTGCCAATAGGAGGTGGGGTCTTCCTGAATGTCAGGGCTTCCTGGATGGTTGGCCATCCTGGAAGGCAGACGTTTGTGAACTGCAAAGTTTTCCTTTAAACATTGGTCAGGGCCTGGGCTCTGGGAGAAGACAACTGGTCTAGGGGCTCTTGCTGGGGAAGGCACTGGCCACTGCAAAGTGGTGGGCGCAGGCTAGGGATGAAGGAGAGAGTGCTGGTAGGCCACTTTCCTCTGGAAGGGCTCCTCTTACGACTCTGCTGGCAGTCACATCCAGTGTGAAGGTCTTTGCTATTCTTTGATCTTTTATTCTTTTTTGTTAACTCCAATCCTTCAGTAAAGTTGGACACTTGAACAGATTTTTCAGTTCCACAAATTGAAGAGCACCTCTCATATTCTAGGATACTGAAGTGAGCATGGCAGACAAGTGTCCTATCTTTATGGGCTTTCTAACTTTAGATCCTGGGGTCTGAGGGGAATTAAGGAATGAGCTGGCATCCAAAATTGGACTGGGTTGTATGAGGTGAGCTACACAAAGGGTTCACACTCCTTCTGTGCACCTGGCGGGATTTGCCTGGAGCTACACAGATCTGACTACTCCATCCACCGTGAAGTTACCACTGATGGTCTATTATCCTTCCCTCCTATGGAAAAACCTTTTAAATTTGGATTAAAGATTTATAGAGCTTTACTAATGTCCTCAAAGAGCAGGCATATGCAGTTTGAACTCTATTATAGAAGCAATTCAGCTCTTTGCAACTAAAAACATTGGCTTCTACTTGAAGTCTAAGTAAAAACTGCCTGATTGACTTGATAATGAGAATTGTCTGTAATTAGCAATCACTTGTTTGGCATCCAAATAGCAGCCCGTTTGCTCTCTTGAAGCATGCTCAAATCACTCACCATGTTACTTTAAGAAAAATTTCTTTCAATTATAGATGTAACATATGCTCCTATTGAAAATTTAGAAAATAAAAATGAAGAGAAGGAAAAAAGATTATCAATAGTTTCACTTACATATCCATTGTGATTTATTTTCTTCTTCTGACATACAAACAGTTGCCAGTTTATGAAGGTTTGATATGCATTTTTTTGACCTTACATTGGTACAAAAGTGATATGCATTTAGTAGAAACCATATTCCAAGCACCCACATGGCAATTCTCAGTACAGTGTTTAATACATTACATGAGATATTCAACACTTTATTATAAAACAGGCTTTGTGTTAGATGATTTTGCCCAACTGTAGGCTAATGTAAGTGTTCTGGACACGTTTAAGAGAGACAAGTTTAAACTATGATGTTCTGGAGGTTAGGTGTATTAAATGCATCTTCACCTTATGATATTTTCAACTTAAGGATGAGTTTATTTAGCCCCTTTGTAAATTGAGAAGCATCTGTATTAATTTTTACACAGTTGCAATTTCATGGTATATGTGCAATTGCATAGGCTGGTTTCTTAAAAATCTGTTTTTAAAATATCTGCTAACTATATAAAGCAGGAAAAATATCACTTAGAAGTCTGCCTCGCAGAGAAACTATCCCTTCCTTTAACATCTGGGTGCATTCTCTTATAATTCCTTTTTTTAAAAAAACATAATTGGGTTTATGCTGGATTAGTTTTGTTAATGTGCACAGATCTTGTCAGAAAGAGTTTCAAGAGGCTCAGTTGCAGATCATATCTGTTATTGGTGGTTTAGCAGTCTTTCCCAACTAAACCTCAATGACTCAGGACTCTCAGTATGACTTTTAAAGGTGCAGAAAACCATCCTTCTTGTTCCATGGCAGAAAAAAAGGACGATTATGTTGCACTACGTCATTCTACTTTTGTGCAGGGAAAACACCTTTTGAAAGTGATTCCCCTGGTTCAGTTTCTTAACAGAGTGACCCACATAGCCATTGTCAGCAAGCACTGGAAGAGAACACTATTAATTATGGCTTTAAGTGGCCACTAAATATGCAGAAGATTTCCTCTGAACTGAGAGTTGAAGAATATGGTGCAACAAGCCCATTTCCTGGCACTGGAAAGTGGAGAGAGAGCTGCAGAAGAGGCCGTGATGAAGGAAGCACTGCAGGGCCATGCTTGGCCCCCGACGTGGGCCTTCAGCTGGGCCTCGTGATTCTAGGTCCCAGCCTGAGTACACGAGGATTCCTCTGGCCTGTTAGCTACAACTTCCTCTTCTAGAGGTCATACTTGTCATCTATGTCTTGGTCATCTGCATATATTTTCTAGAAATTTCCTCAAGATACTGTGATGATTCACTTTCTGAGATGTCACAAACTTGAGAATGACTTACTATTGTCTTCATATATGTGTGTGTGCATAAGCACACACACACACACACACACACGCACACATATTTATGTGCATGCATTCTGGTGTCATGACCCTTTCCCTAAAATCTTTATTGTCTTCTGAAGTTTACTATTATAGACGTCAAGACTGAGCAAAGCCTGATTTGTATCATTTTGTAGAACCTTCTGTTCTTCGTATTTTAATTTTTAGTTTAATAATTTTTCTAGAATATATATAATGTGGATACTTCTTTTGTAAACTCCTCAACTATACTTACTTTCTGTGTAATCCAATTTTTTTTCCCCTTTCTCCTGCAGCCCTTCTACCATGAAGGTGAGCCGTGAAGTCTATTGCCCAGGGATTGGGGACGTTTGTATTAAAGAAGGTTTTGGAGTACAGAAGCAGGAAGATGTGTTGTGGAGATGCTGTTGGCAGAAACAACTGACCTTGACTAAACAAACCAAGAGTTCCTGCAGGAGCAGAGGCCACTGGGTGGAGGCTGATGCCCTTGCACAGGCTTGGGCAGCTCTTCTCCACGTGTCCGTGTGGCTCACTTCCTCACCTACTTCAGGGCTCTGCTCACATGTCACCTCCTCGAGGAGGCCTTCCTTGACTACCCTGTCCTCACTCCCAACGCTTACCCCTGCATTCTCTGTCCCTCTCACTCTGCTGTGGTTTATCCTACCTGACATAGAACAGATTTATCTCCCTGTTGTCTAGCAGGCTTTTATCTAGTTCTGCTTTGCTGGACTGTATCAAGTAAGTCCCAGTTCCTGGACTTCATCACTCAGAAAGGGTGGAACACATGAAAATGGGATTTTCCTGTTCCCACTACAGCACTTTCTTGTGGATACCACATCTTCCCACATGCAATATTCCATTCCCATCTCACTCTTACCTCTTGCCGAGCTATTTTCTCAGCGCGTGAGTCTCTGAATGGAAAATCTACTGCTTTGTGCCCTCCTTGAGGATAAGCTTCACCAGAGCAGTCTATATTGTTGTTGCTGTTGTTGTTGTTTATTGCTGTATTCCTAGCTTCTAGAACAGTGCCTGGCATGGCACTCAGTGGCATGAATAAATTTATGAGTATATATAATGGACAAGTTTGGGAGAAGAAAATTAGTTTGGAAACAGGAGAGTTTAGTGGGAGAGACAAGGCCCTGACTACTTCAAAAAGCAGCAGTACTGTAAGAGGACAGAGTTTCTACTTTTCTGCCCGGCGTAGGACTTGTACTGGACTTTCAACTTGAATTCATGTAGCAAGATGGTGGTGGTAAAAAGATAAAGGCATTTCTACTTCGGTAGACAGTTTCTTTTTCTGGAGACAAGACTTGAGAAGGCCTACCAGATTCTGGCAGTGAGTTGACTGTACTTGTTTTCAGCATTATGAATTTTTGCCTTCATATGAATTTTAGTAGGGAGTTGAGCAATGCTTCCATCCAGATTTCCATTTCAAATTGGGTATCTATTTGCACCTTTAATTCATGTAACAAATACTTCACAGAGAATACAAAGTTGAACTATGGGCAGCTCAATTCATCCCCCAAAGGCAGACAAGAGATGGCAGGTCCAAGTTATGCCTATACTACACAGTAGAGATTGCATTTTAAGTGTTTTGTCATTGCTTCCAAGTTCATACAAATGCTTCTTACTAATTTATTTTGGCCACATTCACTATTCTTATTTGGTACTCATTAGTGAGTTTTTACTCTTTTAAAGAAAAGAAACCTCCAGATTAACTAAAACATTTAAATATGAATTGTATGTAGGCTTTATTCATTTATAAAATGCAAAGAAATTAAGATTAAAAGGAAAATCACATCAAAACCCAGAGACATAAATAAAATGCATTTAAATGATTCTTCAGTAGTTTATTGATGCTGAGATAGTTTTTTTTTTCCCTTGAAAATATATAAAATTTTCTTTTCATCTTTCCTGAAGCATATCCAAATAATTTAGTGACTACATAATTAATATCCAGGTATTCTGTGATATTTGGATATAGGCTTCAACTTCTTCTAAACTTATTTTATACTTCAGACCACACATTTGCAGTTCGTTGATAATGCTTTTGATTGCAGCCTGAGATATTTCCAGGTTTAAAGCCAGGTTCACATTTTGCTTTGAAGGGACAGAAATTCTAAACAAATACAGATGGTCAGGCCATAAACTTAATTAAAATTTCTGCTTTACTGGATGTTACATTAAATATGGCCATAATGCCAAGAGAAATACATGAAAAATCCATTTGCATCCACATCCTGCTGCTTCCACATAGAATGAAATAACAGAATGCTAAGAAGTATGTGTTTGTGTGTATGTGTGTGAGAACACATGTGTATTAAGCGAGTTCTCTCTTTTGGCTGTGTGGCCATACTAGTCTCATATTTTGACTAATAAAAGATGTTTTTTAAAAAAATTTTAATTAATTTTTTTTGTTTGTTTGTTTGAGACTGAGCCTCCCTCTGTCACCTAGGCCAACTTGGCTCACTGCAACCTCCGCCTCCCAGGTTCAAGCGATTCTCATGCCTCAGCCTCCTGAGTAGCTGGGATTACAGACATGCATCACCATGCCCAGCTAATTTTTGTATTTTTAGTAGAGATGGAGTTTCACCATGTTGGCCAGGCTGGTCTGGAACTCCTGACCTCAGGTGATCTGCCCGCCCTGGCCTTCCAAAATGCTGGGATTACAGATGTGAGCCTCCACGCCTGGCTTAAAAGATGAGTTTTAATTAAAATCTGGGATTGGTCAGCTCCATATCTGTTAACTTTCCCATAGAGTGCTGGAACACTAATTTAGAGAGATTTTGAACTACTGTGTGGTTTGTCTGTCTTCTTTTTGTGTAAATCTAGGACTTTTTTTTTTCTTTTCCAACTTGCCTGGAATATTTTCTTACTTAGAATTCTATGGAGATCATAACTCATCTCCAGGAGGGTGAACAAGGTCACTCATAGGAAGGTGGAGCATGGCTTTCTTACACAATTGGAAGGGAGGACGGGACGCAGCCCTGTCATTTACAGATGAGGACTCTGTGTCCCAGGAGGGCAAGGGAGCATGCAGAGTCTGGTGTGGTAAGCACAGGCCCAGCTCTGTGCAGATGGGGCAGTGAGAGCAGAAAGGACTACTGTGGCCACATTTGACAGGTCTGGTTGACCCTGCAGTAGGACACCATCCAAAATTTCCATTAAGTGCCTTAGTCCCAATTCCTCAGAAAGAAGGGCTTGAGAGCAAGCCTATGTATGAAGTCTTTATTGGCGAGTATGATCCCAAAGAGGAGTAGGGATGTAAACCAGGAAAAACGGGTAAGTCGGTCACTAAAGTCAACTGTTTGCTCTGCCCATCAGGACCCTGTGAGGAGCCTAATGAATTGTAGCCCAGGACCCTCCATCATGGGTTGAATTGTGTTTCTCCAGGATTCATATGGTGAATCCCTGACCCTCAGTATCTGAGAATGTGACAGCATTTGGAGATAGGGCCTATAAAGAAGTGATTAAGATAAGTGAGCCTGATAGAATGGGCCCTATTTTAATCTGACTAGTGTCCTTTTAGGAACAGAAAATCTGTACACACACAGAGACATCAAGGATGCATGTTCACAGAGGAAAGGCCAGGTGAGGCCGTAGCAGGAAGGCAGTCATCTGCAAGCCAAGAAGAGAGACCTCAGAAGAAACCAACCTGCTGACACCTTGATCTTGGACTTCCAGCCTCCAGAACTATGATAAAATAAATTTCTGTTGTTTAAGTTACCAGTCTGTGGTGCTTTGTTATGGCAGCTCTAGCCAACTCATACATTCTTTGACAGGGAAGAAGAAAGACTTCAAGTTTTGACTCTTAGAGGGTTCGTTGCCTCTGGGTTGCATGTGCTTGGGTATGAAGAAATTTCCCCTGGAGTCTCATGCACTGTGGTCAACAGAGATGTCCCAGGGCAGGAGATGACAAGAGCACAGCTGGGTTTCAGGTAAGGCCCTAGTAGGTGGCAGATGTTAGAAGCAGATTGGAGCCTGTGCAGAAGTGGACTGCAGGGGGTGAGAGGTGGGGAGGGGAGACAGGTAAGGCTGGGAGGAGCAAAAGCAAAGCTGAAGTGGTGTCTAATACACAAGGTAATAATGGTATTGATAATAGGGAGACTGATAATGGGTGATATTTATTGAGCATATTTTATGTGCCAGACACTGGGCTATGCACTTTACACAAACTATTTCACTTTCTATCTCACTAACTCCCCAGCAAACACTCCAGGATTTAGGTACCACTCTTATCCCTATTTTACAGACAAAAAAACTGAGGCATAGGGAGTTTCAGGAACTTATCCCAAGGTCATAACATCTACTAGTCAGTTGCCTCAACTCAAGTGATGTGGCTCCAAATCTTGCATTCTTAGTCTGCGTTCTCTTGATGCTGTCATTAAAAGAGTGTTCTAGAAAGATACATTTGAACAGTTGTTTTAATTCATTTAAATTTCATATACGAGTTATATTTTAATGAAAATATATGGTATTCTATGTGCAAGTTTATCACAAAAAGGTCAATATAATAGAGTGGTTAAGCAGTCCGACCACAGAGCCAAGTTCCTAGGTTCAAATCCCAGCTCTACTATTTTCCTGCTGTGAGAATTTGGGAAAGTTACTCCACTTCTCTGGGCCTCACTTCAAACCTGTGAATGATAAAAACAGCACCTACTTCATAGCATTTGTCCCAGTTTTCCAGAAAGGGGAGGATTAAATTATTTAATATACATAAACTGCTTTTTGTACATAGTGAATATTAGGGTTTTTTATTATAATCTTTAAAAATAATTTAGCTGAGCACAGTGGTGCAGACCCATAGTCCTAGCTACTCAGGAGGCTGAGGCAGGAGGATCTCTTGAGCCTAGGAGTTTGAGGTGTACAGTGAGCTACGATCACACCATTGCACTCCAGCCTGGTCAACAGAGCAAGACCTTGTCTCTAAAAAAGTAATAATAATAAAATAATAAATAAATGAGGAAAAATTGACCAGATGTGACTTTCAATAACTCTTACTCATATTAAATTCTTGAATTTTACATGTGGATCTCCAAATTTTTGCAACACTTCTGTTGCCGTGTAAGCTAAGGGACCCAGTTTTTTTGAAGTACTGGTCACATGTCAGCTGTTAAACATCACATTACCGGCATCATAAATGAAGTCACCATTTGGCAAATAATTTCTTGGCAGGAGTGGCTCTCACCAACAGGGAAAATGTAAAAACATAAATAAAATCCCTATTGCAATTATTTAACACATTTCAGACACACGGCTCAGCAAGTTTTTCAACTGCAAAGCTCTTTTCCTTCCATCTTTGAACTCAGATGGCTGAGCTGTGAGGAGGAATTGAACTGTCCAGTAAATCCATTTTTTTTTTTTTTTCTGTAGCTGTCACTTATCTGCAGGTGATGCTGTTTACCACAGGAAAGATAAGCATATTATGCAAACACACGCATGCGCTTTGCCTTAAAAGGCCATAGTTTGTTATCTGATTGCTCTAAGTTAACGTGGGGAACCCGCATGAATGGTTGCAATAGTTGTTCTTACGTCATTTCCTCCCTTTCAAGGGTAGATAGAGCAAGTTTCCTCATCTGAGAAACGAAGGGGGTTGGACCAGATATCCTCCAAGCTCCCTTTTCGCTGTGACATTCTGTGGCTTCAGATTCTCTTCTTCTTGGGCAGTGTTTTCGGTTTTTAGGGCACTGAACCCAAACAGCCCTACCTGCTAATTTCAGTTTGGGCTGCTATGAAGACAAAAGGAAAGGACTGACGTTTCAGTAAAGCATTATAACATACAGAGTGGCTTCACATATGCATCCTTTATGAAATCCTCACAGAAATTTCCAAGGAATTTTGCAGATGAGGAGAATGAGATCCCAGGAGGTTAAGTGACTTGTCCAAGGCCACACAGCTTGTAGGAAGTAAGGCCAAATTTAAAACTCAAGTCTTTTTATCTGTTGGTGCAGTGTTATTTGCAGCATGCCACAGTCCCTCACAATCCAAGAGATAAACCTGATGAGATTATGTAAACTTTCAGTTCCTTCAGCCAATGGGCCGGCATTGACTCTATTAGTTCTGATTGGGTCATGTGTATAACGCTGAACCAATCATTGTGGCAAGGGCAGTGTAAAGCTTTTGATTGACCGGACTTAGTTACAACCTCCCCCTGAAACGTGGGGAGGTTCCCTGAAACACAAAGCTAAAAATAGGAGATGAAAAAAAAAAAAAAATCAAGGGCCCTCATCAGACCAGACAGAATAAATGATGCACAGAAAAATAAGAAAATTCCCATTGTACACAGAGAAAGAATTTCCCCTAAAATACACTTCAAAAACAAGTTGTTTTAAAATGTCTTATTTTCTATTTTGTCTTAATTTACTGCATTTGGGTCCCAGTTCAAATGAGATAAGCTCATTCTTCTTTGGGGAATGAAATAAGGATTGGAACTGCTCCCAATCAGATCAAATCAACAAACATTTCTTGGACACCTTATGTGTAAGGTGCCCAGGATAAAGAGAGGTGGCTGAGCCAGCCATGTTTCCAACTTTGTTAATTTGTTAAGTTTTCTGTTTCTTGTCTTGTGATCCCCAGATTTTATACCTGGGAGACATTTTACTTGTTGGGCGTGCATCATTCACATTCCCTTTGGCTTCTAGAAGCTGCTCAAAGGGTTTTTTTTTCTTTTTTTTTTTTTTTTTTAATTGCTTTTGGATTATATTCTGTTGAGCAAAACTTTCCCCTTGGTTGTTATGGCAACTTTCAAATTGCCAGAGTTAGATGTCAGCCCAGAGGTTTGACAAACAGATGACTTCCAGACAGAGGGGCTGATTTAGGAGTTTTGGATGGGGACACAGGGCTTTTACTGTACTCTGAACTAGTTTACATAATTTGCAAATTGTTTTGGTTCAAGTAAGCTAACCTCTGAACCAACCATAGAGTATTTGGTTACATTCCAAGTCCCTACAAGGAGCTACTCAATTCATTCATTAATATTCTATAAGTTTCAACTAGCAGCTAACTAGTTAGCCCGTATATGTGGGGGCAGTGGATGGTGTCTGCATCTTGCAGTTGTTGGCAAGCTGGGTTCGGTTGTGCTTTTGCTTCTCATGTTTCCTAACCCATCTTCAAGTTTTACTGGCTTCCAAAAACATGAATCCAACCCATTTCTAAACCTCTGTCCAGAAGCCTGACTCCTACACACTCTCTGGGACTATCTGGAACTCTTAGGGTGAATGTGATTGCAAATCATAATTTTCTCAGTGAAAGGAAGGTGTTCCTGGTTAAATTCAGGGTTGCTGCTGCCCTCTCCCCAACCCCCCACAAAGATTCTTAGTCTGCCTTTTCAATGAGAGTCTATATAGTTATTTTTTGTTTTTATTGTTATTTTTGTTTGTGTTTTCATTAGGACAACGAGTTATTTGTA